ACAGAGTAAGACCATGTCTATATGACACCAAACATCTGGGTGAAAAAGAAAAAAAAAGCATAGTAATAAAAAGAAAACATCTATGTGTGTTTGATGGGCGACATCTGGATTTTTATAAACATCTGGGTTCTTAACTCTTTCTTTCCCTTAGGTTCCATGTGTTTGTCCCTCTCAGAAAGGTGACAAAGCAGACTCAGTATCATCCTTATTGAGTTAGATAAAACTGTTGTATTCAATTAATTTGCAAACACAAACTAATTACCCTCTTTAACATAATACGGAATGAGTAAAATCTGCCATCCCCAGGCAAATAAATACCAACCCCCCCTCTTGTAATTAGGCTGTGTAAGAATTAAACTTGGCTTAAAGCATATTTAAATCTCGGTCATACTACACTGACATCATTTTCCAGAGGCAGAAGTCTTTGAAGGTGTTCAGGCAATCATTTTCTCTCTTGAGGAATAGTTTTCCTCAAATACGAGACTAGATTAATTCAGTGTGTTTTGACAATAGTAAAATTTAGCAAACACTTAGGAACATCTGAGATGCATCTAGTAATAGATGTTTCCTTTGCCAACTGAATTATACAAACTGATAAAAATCAGTGTAAACCCACTTTCCGAGCCATCTTCTGACATGCCCCGGGCTGAATCCCAAAGAATAAAGTCAAATTGAACTCAAAGACTTCCAGGCAATGAAAAGCACCTTTTGTGACTGTTCTCAGTTTGTGTGTGTGTGTGTGTGTGTGTGTGTGTGTGTGTGTTTATAAGAGATGGAGAGAGATTTTCTTTAAAAAAAGTTATCATAATGATCAAACATCTCTTCTGTGGTTTATTGTCAATCCAATCAGTTATAATGGAAATAGTCTGCTTGCTTTTTCTATTCTTACATTTTTGAAATGATTAGTACTTCTTTGAGATAGCCCAGTAATCAGACACATAGCCCAGTTTAAAGGGCAAAGCTCAAGAGAGAATATGTGTGTGTGTATCCATAAGGTTATTGCAATTTAAGTGCCTTCAAAAAATCTCATTTGATTTTTCAAGGCAATTCTACAGCTGTGAAAATTAAAGGCACACAGTAACAAGATACAATTTAATGACTGCATAGGTTAAGAAACATTTAGAGGCTTTAGTAGCCTCATGCTACTAAAAGAAAAATTGTTTTGTTTCTTTAATTTAGCTGTTAGCTGGGAAGGATCGAGCTTCACAGCACAATAGGAATTTCTGGATTTTATAGGCTCTATTTCCTTGATCACATTTGTCCTGTTTCCCCCAACAAGTTCCGAAAACCAGCAGATGTGGCTATCTGCAGAATTCCAATTCCAGGAAGAATCAATCAGGCTTCTACTTGTAATAAAGTCGAGTCACTCAGATCATCTTCTAGGTGGCATCAGCCAACTCACCCGCCACTACCCGCAAATCCTATACTCATCCCCACTTTACAAGAAAAGGAAAAAAAAAAAAGAGCCAGAGCATCAAACTCTCACTCCATTGGGTCTAATGACATCTTCAGTCATTTACGAGTTAATAAAAATCTCCAAATCATCTGGGCTAGATAAGAAGGAAGAAAGAAAAGTATTGTGCTCTAATGACAGGCTGTGACACGGCCCTAGGAGCTGTCACGGGTCAGTCACGTTAAGAATGTGTGCGTCCAATCATCTGCTGATTCTTATCAGCCAGCCCTCCAGCAGGAGCAGAGGGGGCCAGTTTTGGAGCCACAATGAATAAACAATGACTTTTGTTTTTTGCAGGGGGGGGGGAAACGATTTTTGGAGGCTGGGTATTAGAATGAAGGGGTTGATATATACTAAAACATGATGACACTAGCAATCAATAGACCAATTACTGGACAAGGTATTGAAGGAGGCATTCCCATGTCTTTTTTAGTCTTCATCATGTACTTTGAAGGGACTTTGCACTGGGAGGAGGTCTTTGTAGACCCAGATGGGCTGGGATCCCAAGACCTGAGGCCTTCATCTCAAAGGCAAGCCTGGCCTTTTCTGGCTATGGTTCACACTTGTGTGATTTGAATCACCTGCGGAGTTGATAGAAGAAAGAAAGAAAAAGGACAGATTCCTGAATCTCCTTAGTGATTACGTCTTAGGGGATCTAGGACTATGATTAGGGATAAGACTTGGTGTTCCCTCCCCCTTCCCTCTTCCTTCCTTCCTTCCTTCCTTCCTTCCTTCCTTCCTTCCTTCCTTCCTTCCTTCCTTCCTCCCTCCCACCTTCCTTCCCTCCCTCTCTCCCTCCCTCCCTTCCCTCTCTCTTTCTTCATTTTTTCCCCTGTGTCAGTACTGGGGATTGAACTCAGGACTTCACATTCTAGCTTGGCATTTTCCACTCAATTCCGGTGTTCTATCACTTGGGCCATCATACCTCCATTTCATTCACAGTCAGAGTCTCTTGGATGTCTATCCAGGCTGGCTTTGAACTGAGATCCTCCTATTGCAGTCTCCTGAGTAGCTAGGATAACAGGCGTGAACCACCAAAGCCTGGCTCCCATGCCAACTTTGAAACCCATAGGACATGTAACATGCTTTAGCCAGGAGAGGAGATGTCACAGGACAAGGTTCACATGCCATCAGGAGGAGGAAATGTCTATCACTTGCTTTGAGTTGTGTAGAGACTCCTGTCACCATGGGCAGGAATCTTCCTGAAGGAACGCTTCAGAGCTTGCTAAGCTTTCCCCAAAGGTTAACTTGTCTGCAAACACGTCCTACATTTAAATCACCCTTATGCAGAGGAGGTTTTAAACCATTTCATGGCTCTAGGATTAATACACAAGCAAAACAAACAAAAAAAAAGATGGCTGACATCAAGTGAGCAAGAGTAGGTTAAAGTGATTTACAGGAACAAATGACTATTGATCAGACTTCTCAGAATCCTCATCCCTGGATCAGCTGTCAGGAGTCATGAATTGGTGTCTTTAAAAGACCACAGGTGCCTATGTGCAGAAGCTAGTTCTGCACATCATCCAGCAAGAAAACTCTTTCTTCATTATGACGTATTAAACCCTCTCTACCTAGCCTCAGGATTACTAACATGGTGGCTAAATGCCAACCAGAAGGGTCATAGAATCAGCACCAAAGAGTTAAATACATTGTCCAGTTGCTGACGGCTTGGTTTAATCATCCCTGAATTATTGGCATATGTCCCAGACCAGGGACTCAGTTAAGAAAAAAAAAATTTTTAAAGGAAGAAGGAAAGAAAGAAAGAGAAAAAAACCCACATTACCTGGGTTTTACTAAGTGAGATTACATTGTGGTTTCTTAGATAAGCGATAATGCCATCCTGACACTTTGCAAGGACTCAGACACTACAAGCAAGAGCAGCAGCCATCCATCAGGATGGCTCTCTTGCTTCAAAGTACATCTGTCCTCTTCCATGGACAATATGGCCCTGGCCAGTACTATCTCACTGGTCTTTGGATCTTTGTGGCTGTAGTGGACATCTTTGTCCTGAGGCTGTTTGTTTGTTTACCGTGTAGTACTGAGGCTTGAGCTCAGGACCTCTTGTTTGCTAGGCAAGTACTTCACCATTGAGGTCCTTCCCCTCCCTCCACCATCCAGAGTCTGAAGGCGAAGGTGAAACAGATCAGCCTTCGGCAGGACCAGAGATCAAGCTAGTAGAAATTTTAAGCCTATCGTGGGTCATAAAATTTCTACTCTTGAAGCCCCTTCCAGAACTGTGCATTGATACCAAATGGTAATTCCTGCGGAGGACATGACAACTTATAAACGTCCTGAAAGAATATCATTTTTCCTGTAGAAACGAAGGCACTTTTCTCGAAAGCCCTGCTAGAAAAAAAAAAAGAAGTTAATTTCCCAAGTAACAGCCCCAGGTCCCATTGCTCCCTTATAAATCTCTTCTCTGCCCCTCAGCTCCAACCTCCCCTTGTCACACAACAGTGCAAAGAAATTCTCACACGGAAGACTAAATGAACGGACACACCAACGTTTGAAAGATGTGGAAAGACTCAAACCCAACCCCAAACCTCAAAATCAAATTAAACAACCTTACCCACCCCTGCTAATACTTGCCATCTTTTCTTCCCCTCTTGGTCTGTCTCTGTCCTCTCTGTCTCTCTGTCTTTCTGACATAGCCCTCACATGTCCCTACAAGGCTCAGAACTGGTTAGAATGGATCCTTCTGAACTAAAAATAATAGAACAGACTCAACGTTGGGAGGTCTCAAAGGCTTTGTTTCATCTTCTTTGTAAATATCTCCTCTATTGACACCACATGTGCCTCCTGATTTTCCAGGCACAAGGCGATTGATTTTAAGAGAGGTTTTTGTTGCACCCTGGTAGAAAAGCACAGAGGTCCAGCTCACAGCAGAACTGAGGTCCACCCACCCAACCTCTCCGTCTGGTTTGTTATGTAGTTGCATATTTCTGCTCTTTTTTTTTATATTCTTTGAAATGTTTTGAATTAAAATAGCTTACTCAAGGTCACTGCAGGCATATGGTCCTGCTCAAAACTTTTAAACAAAACATTAGTTTTTACAACCTTTTGTAATTTGGTATTGTACACAACATGGTTATAGGCCGCGTTTCTGTAATCTTTTCAGTGGGTGACAGAAATATGAGAAACAAATTTATAAGCCATTTAGTGAAGCATTTAATCAATTTCATGCATAGGAAATAACTCCGATTGCTTAGCTTTATCAATCTTTCCAGCAGAATTCCAGTCAACGCCATCTCCAAAACGGAGCCCCTGGTGGAGGGGGGGGAGGGCACCCGGGGGGAGCGAGGGAGGGGTGAAGGCTCAGAAGAAACCTTTCCCTGTGACAGAATGGAAATGTCAGCGACTTCTGAAGTCTGCCCGACAGGGTCAGCGAGCGTCTACGAGCCTTCTGGAGACTGTTAATGTATTTCAGAAAGAGAGCCCGGGTCTAATGTTTAGAGGAAGTTTCCAGAGCCTTTTACTGTAAAGTTATTCATTAAACACCCTTTTCCCAGAGCGACTCCTGCGAGGTTTGGTGCAAGGCTGATGGTGTTTCACTTTGGGCTCCCAGAAATACTTTGATAAACCAGTGTCAGTAGCAATTCCTTTCAAATTCTGGACAACATGGTGTGAGTTTTTTTTAAAAATTAAAATGTAGAACTTTTACATGAAAGAGTCAAATTAATAACTGACTTGCACCGAAGTGCAGTGTAACTGTTGTAGCATTTTTCAAGAATTTTTATGCTATCTTTTAGGGTTTATGTTCCCAGTTTCTTTTAAATTGTCTAAAGGATTATTCTAGCTGTTGCTAATATGGTGAGCTAATATTCTCTTTGTTCTTACATGCTGGAATCTCTCTTATAGATGCATGACCCCAAACATCATCCAGTTCTTCTCTTCCATCCTCCTCTTCCTCCTCCTTCTTATTTTGGTCAGTTGTGGAACTTGAACTCTGGGCCTGGGCATTGTCCTTCAGCTCTTCAGCTCAAGGCAAGTGCTCTACCACTTGAGCCACAGGGCCACTTCCGGTTTTCTGACTGGTTAATTGGGAATAAGAATCTCAGGGCCTTTCTGGCCCAGGCTGGCTTTGAGCCTCTATCCTCAGATCTCAGCCTCCTGAGTAGCTAGGATGACAGGCATGAGCCACCAGCACCCAGCTTTCTCTTTCTTTTTTTTTTTTAACTTTTTTTTTTTTGTATGTGGGGTTTGAACTCAGAGCCTGAGCACTGTCTCATTTTTTACTCAAAACTAGTGTTCTATTTCTCAAGTTACACCTCCACTCAGCTTTTGGCTGGTTAATTATAGGTAAGAATTGTACAGACCTTCCTGCTCAAGTTGGTTTCGAATCCCAATCTTCCTATCTCGGTCTCCTGAGTAACTAGATGTGAGCTCCAGGTGCCTGTTAACCAAGGAGCAAAGCCCAGAGGGAGCAAATGATGGTTTTATGATAGTCATTATCTGATAAGCTATATTAAAATTGCATTAGTTCTATTTGTCCTCTGGAATCGGCACCGTTATACAGGTACGGTAGACACTCATTTCAAAAGTAATTTGCTTCCACTGATTTCTGAACCTCAAAAGTATTCCAATCTCTAGTAGCTAGTTCTGATTTCAAGTCGGTTTATTTTCCTGCACCTCCTTTACTCCTGCTTCTGACTCACACTGGCCCTTTGAAGTATGACAGTTGGGAGGATTCTCCTGTACTTGTAATTCAGTGGCATGCCATTCAGTTTTTATTTTCCCAAAGTATTTTGAGTTGTGGAGAGTCCATTATTATATCGATTTATGCTGCATTAGTAATCCTGCATAAAACTAGAAGCAGTGATGGGAGCTGGGTCAGATAGTTCAGCCTGCCTGCCTATCTGTCTGTCTGTCTGTCTCTCTGTCTATATGCCATCCATTGGTCTGGTCTGTGTCTGTGTCTGTCTGTCTATCTATCTATCTATCTATCTATCTATCTATCTATCTATCTATCTATCATCTGTCTATCTTCAACCATTAACCAATTCCTCAATAACTTATTTTGTTTAAATTAAGTAATCATTTTATTTTTTTTTGCTGGACGTGGGACCTGAACTCTGGACCTAGGCACTGTCCCTCAGCTCTTCAGCTCAAGGCTAGCGCTCTACCACTTGAGCCACAGCGCTACTTCCAGCTTTTTCTGCTTATGTGGTGCTGAGGAATCGAACCCAGGACCTCATGCATTCAAGGCAAGCACTCTGCCACTGAGCCACCTTCCCAGCCCTAAGTAATCATTTTTATAGGGAACATATATTCAGTAGAATCTACAGTGGTAAAAAAACTTCTCTAGGCTGAAAGAATTAAAAATTCTCTTTTTTTGCCCTAAGTTCATTTCCTTCCTAAATAGATCAGTCCTAATAGACTACTTCTAAGCCAGGCACCAGTGGCTCACGCTGATAATCCTAGCTACTCAGGAGGCTAAGATCTGAGGATCATGGTTTGAAGCCAGCCTGGGTAGGAAACTCTGTGAAGTCCGTGAGAGTTTTATCGTTAAGAAACTACTCAGAGAAAGCTGGAAGTGGTACTGTGGCTCAAGTGGTAAAGTACTAACCTCGAGTGTAGAGAAGTTCAAGGACAGAGCCAAGGTCCTGAGTTCAAGCCCCAGAAAAAAGACTTGTTCTAATTCCATTTGATTTCTCCATTTCCATCTATATCACAAATACTGAGCAATTTGCTAATCTTTTTTTTTTTTTGGTTCAGATGAATCTCATAAACAAGTGACATCATGTATGTGTCATTGTGCACTTGATATCTCTGCTCATGATCATTATGGAAATGTGTTGGTAGGAACATGTATAAGTCATTCTTTCTAACTGGTTCAAGTATATTCCATAGTATGTTTACATTAGAACGTATTGAGTTTGATCTAATGTGCACTATGGTTCACAAAGGTGTTATAGATAGCACCTTTGTGAATACCTTTGTATACATTCTACATCACTCATATATTTATGATATGCATAACATAAACAGTACTTATATCTTGGATTCCTTTATCGTTAGTACTTACAGTGAAATTGCTGGGTCCTAAGTATGCATACTTAATATCTTGATAGTTATACTGAAATTACAATGACAATCCTGTCATCATTTCTGAGACCCTATTTCTGCTCTCCTTAAACTTACAAGTTAGCTGATCCTCTCTTCTTCTCTGTTAATAACTTTGCCTACAACTCCTCAAGAAGAAGCATACCCATTTCAATGAAGGGAAAATGGGATCAGGCAACTTAATCACTGTTCTAGGCTCACAGGATGTGCTCACCAGACTGAAAACATCTAAACATTTTTTTTCTTTCCTTTCTTTTTTTCTGTTTGATGCCAGTCCTGGGGCTTGACCTCGGGGTCTGAGCCCTTCCCTCTACCACTTGAGCGACATATCCGCTTCTGGATTTTTGGTGGTTACGTCTCACAGATTTTCCTGTCCAGGCTGGCTTGCAATTGCACTCCTTAGATCTCAGCCTCCTATGTAGCTGGGATTATAGGCCTGAGTCACTGGCACTTAGTCATAGATCTTTCTTTAAGGCATCTTCGATGTTTTCTCTGCCTGCCTTCTTTGAACACACTGCTTTACTCTACTCGCCCTTCCCCCAATTCTTGGGTCTTGAACTCAGGGCCTGGATGCTGTCCCTGAGCTTTTTTTGATCAAGGCTAGCACTCTACCACTCTGAGCCACACTCCACTTCCGGTTTTCTGGTGGTTAGCTGGAGATGAGAGTCTCACAGAGTCCTGGCTGGCTTCAAATTGCAATCCTCAGATCTCAGCCTCTTGAGTATCTAGAATTATAGGTATGGGCCACCAGTGCCTGGCTGGACCACTCTTACTTAACACCCCCAGTCTTTTATTTGCAATTCCAGAAAAAAGACACACACCCCCAAACCCCCAAACCAATCCAAAACAAACCAAACCAAACCCGTGGCACCATTAGAAGTCTAATGTGCCGACTATCCATATCATCTAAAATGTTTATTGCCTTGAACTGAAGTACTGCAACAATTTGAAGCATCAACCAAGGTAGTTGTGTTCTTTAAAAAATGTTTTAAAAAGCTGGGCACTGGTGGATCACGCCTGTAATCCTAGCTACTCAGGAGGCTGAGATCTGAGGATCGCGGTTCAAAGCCAGCCCGGGCTGGAGAGACCGTGAGACTCCTATCTCCAATAAACCACCAGAAAACTGGAAGTGGCGCTGTAGCTCAAGTGGTAGAGCTGAAGCCTTGAGCTGAAGAGCTGAGGGACAGCGCCCAGGCCCAGAGTTCAAGCCCCACGACCGACAAAAAAAAAAAAAATGTTTAAAAACAAGATATTTGATTCAATCTATACATTGAATAGAAGAAGACTATTCTTAAAATTACTTTTATCTTCTCAACACAAATAATAATAATAATAAAACCCTCAAGTAATCAAAATTTACTACAGCTGAAATCGATTTTGGCAGAATGTAAGTATTGTATGAAATGTGAGCATAACTCTGATTTCTAAGCAGAGAGGCCAGGATTTGTAGTTTTGGCTTCATTCAGTGGAAAACAAAAATCTACTACTGTATTTGGAGTCTTTTACTACATTCAAGAGATTAATTCTCATAAATAACATTGTTTACACCAGCTCCTATTCAGAAAGTTGAAATTATCTGTAGCAATGTAACCACTGAAAACTTGTATACTATGGAAATATTTCAATAATTAATGCATGCTCCATCTAGAGTAATTGACAATGAGGTCATAAACATAATAGGCCATCTGTGTTTGATTTGTATCCTTAAAGGGATAGGTGCCTAATTTAAGCTTCTTAGGCCAGGAAGATTTTTTTTTCAATTCCAAATAGAGCCATTTCTTCCCTCCTTCCCTCCTTTCTCTCTTTTCCCTCCTTCCCTATCTTTCTTCTTTCCTTTCTCCTTCCTTTTCTTTTGGCAGCATTGGGGGTTGAACTCAAGGCCTTGTGGCCGCTAGGCAGGTGCTCTACCACTTGAGCCATCTCCACTCCCATCCTATTTTGCTTCAGCTCTTTCTCAGATAAGTTCTTGTCTTTTTGTCCAGGCCAGCCTCAGATGGTAATCCTCAGGTCTGGGTTAATATATAGAACACATATATTCTCTCTCATTGATAAAATTGAGAGAAACACGCATTAAGGAACAGACCTCAACACATTACTTTCAGTGACATTACATAGGTCTCTGCGTAGAACATGGCTATTGAAACTGATGGCAAATAAACCACTTCCAGTACTGACAGGTGGCCTTCACGAGACAAGAGACGATAGCGATTTTGACTGCTGAGTGAGTTCAGAGACCTTGTGCCAATCTTTGAAAACTCCTTAGAATGTAAGTTGAAACCACGGAGACACAAATACTTTTGTGGCCAAGATGTCCTCACTCACCTGATCTTAACTGGCAGTGAGCCTACAGGCTGTGAGCGGTGGTTGCTGTCAGGATTCCCAAGGCCAGGGTCAACTAGGTTTTCTTTTCCAAGGGAGCTCAGCTCTGTCTGGAGTCCCTTGGAATTCTGGGAATTCTCTAAGAAGAGATTGGAACCTTTTTTTTTTTTTATTGTTGTTAAAACCAAGGAGCCTCATCTTCCTGGAATCCCCCTGCCATATGAGACTTGATTTCAAGGATTTCTCCTTCTGTTTGCCTGGAGAAAGGAGAATCCGTTGGTGCAGTTCTGGGCCCTTAAAAACACACTGTCTTTGGATGTGGAAAGGAGTGATCTTTTGCAGACCCCAGAAGAACAGAGCTCTGGCTAAAAAGATGCTGCTAAGGAAATGTAGATAAAGCAAATCCCAGGTACCTGAGGCACAAGGCACTGTTACTGAACACGTTGGGGTAATAACTATTAGGTCAGTGACTGTAAGTCTATCCTATAAACAAGGATTATAAGATTTAAGCAGGGGCTTTGCCTCAAAGAAATGATGCCAACAACCAATGGCCAGAGCTGCCCAACCCCTCTGTTTCATCACTTAAAGTGACAGTACCCAGCTTTTCACTCGGCATCTATCATGAGGACACATTGATTTCCTTTCTGGGGAAATGCATATTTCTTCTCCCCTGCTGAAAAGATAAACCTGACAGATTTTAATCAGATGTAGTTGCTCACAGAACTGTGGGCTTGTGCCACGTTCAGGAGACAAACACACGGCTGCCTTTAACGGATGAATGATGTGGCCAACTTTATTTGTAAACACTTATGTGAACACACAGGCACACATACACACACAAACCCACAGTATTTGGGCAGTAGTAAAGCGTAGATGTTGGTTATTTTGATGTTCTTTAAGGTACTACATTTATAGTGACATTAGAAGCTGTTGCTTTAAGTACATTTCTACTGATACTAGAATCTCCACTTTTTCCCTCCCCCCTTTATATTTCTTTGTGATACTGGGGATTTGAACCCAGGGCTCTCATTGGCTAGGCAGGTGTTCAATCACTTGACTCTCACTTCTAGATCTTTTCTGCTTTTGATATTTTTCAAAGAGTCTTGCTTTTTGCCTATCCCAGCCAGGAACTATGACTTCCTATTGGCACTTTCCAAGTAGCATGAGGGACAGGAACACGGAAGGATACTCAGCCTTTCTTCATTGGCTGAAGTGGGGGCTTGTGAACTTTTTTTTGACCAGGCTGGTCTTGAACCACAGTCTCCCTGATCTCTGCCTCTGAGTTGCTAGGATTCAAGCATGAGCCAATCTACCTGGATCTGATGTTTTGTTTCTTTAAGATTTTTGTGATATTGGACTTTGGTCTGGTAAAAATGAAGTCTTTCCCAAAATGAACCTTGGCTTATAGGGAAAGCACATGAGATATAAGATTAAAACAAACAAACAAAACAAAAAAACCAGAGTCTTACCCAGAGGCACCTGTGACTCATACCTGTCATCCTAGCTACTCAGGAGGCTGAGATCTGAGGATCGTGGTTCCAAGCCAGCCCAAGCAAGAAAGTCCTTTTAAACAATTATCTCCAATGAACCACTCAAATGGAAATGGAGCTGTGGCTTAAAATGGTGAAGTGCTAGCCCGGAGTGAAAGAGCTCAGGGACAGTGCCCAGGCCCTGAGTTCAAGCCCCACAACCATCACCACCAAAACCTAAACCAAACAAATAACAATGAAACTAAAGTCCTTCTCTGATAGCAGTTACCTATCATGGGCCAAGAGTGTCATGGAGTCTTTGTATGATTTCATGTCATGCTTTTGAGTAGCTCTTATTCTTTTCAACATATCTCAAGAGAGCCAAGATGTTTTTCTTCTCAATTCAGATAGACATTAAAATTAATTATTCTTGGATGATTTAAAAAAAAGTGTGTGGGAAAGAGATGTAAAATCAACAGGCTTGATGTTTTTGATCTCATTCATTGATTCCTTCCGTTCCCTTCATTACAGATTATGCACGAGTTGATTTTTAATGGAGAAATCTGAAATAGCTGAGTCTTTGCATGTCTTTTTGTCTAAGTATTGGTATGACTGATTGCATTTTCCCCCATGATGCAGAGAGATTAGATGCTTCTTGTTCACAAATGATGGTGATTTCCTGCCCAGGTATGTGTGTGTGTGTGTGTGTGTGTGTGTGTGTGTGTGTGTGTGTGTGTATACATATATATAAATAAATAAAATATAATGTTAGCTGATGTTTAGTGATGAAAACAGAAAACACTTCACAGACTGAAAGTGTCGTGATAGTATTTTAAGCGAAAATGATCAATTTACTTCTTCCTCAAGTATTCCATCTTTTTAACAAAGCTTTAAAAAACTATATCCTTCTAAGTCTGAATATTAAGACATACAAGAAGAATCATGCATTAGAAAAGTTTTATAAGGGAAGTTATCTTAATAGGCATAGTGGCTTGCTACATGTACTCATGTATATGTATACATAATTCATTTCAATGGACAAAATAGAGTCTATAAACATTTGCCTTTTGAGATTTTATTTTTAGTATATTTCTAATGTCATTTAAGGATTGAGCTCAAGACCTCCCATTTGCTACATAAAATGCTCTACCACTTGGATCCCACTCCAGTCTTTTTGTCTTAGTTTAAGTTTTAGACAGGGTCTCACACTTTTACAATGCCCAGCCTTGGACCTCAATCATCTTAACTCTACCTTCCAAGAAGCTGGGATTCCAGGCATGTTCCACTCTGTATAGCCTTTCTCTATCACTTCTAAGTCCTTAGGAGTAGTAGACATTATTATTTATGTGATAACCTGTCCTAGAATACTTGTCCTGCCATAAACAATTGGATTAATTTTGACAGCCACTTTCATTTGAGAATGATCTTACAATTCAAACATTTGTCCTAGATGCTCTATCTCGTGAGATTTCTTCTTTGAAACACATCGAGATAGAGAGAAGACAACACCTACAAGTCAGAAGTCACCATGTCAGAGCCGTAGTAGAAAAGTTTGGCATTTAAATGGTAAGAGATACTGATGAACTTCATAAAGTAAAAAAAAAAAAAATAAACAAAAAGTAAACATAGGAAGGCCATAAAATTGGGTGAACTCTTTTACCTTCACATTGTACTGTCCTCATTAAAACTTAGCCACAAGATCAGTGATTAACAATGTGCCCCAATTTCCACTTGGTGCTAGTGTTATTTGAAAATTTAACCCAATCTGAAAGGCTATCATGACACAGGGAATAGGTGATTCATTCCTCAGAGAATATGTGTGATACTCCAAAGTACAGCCACTAGAAGTTCAGCACACGGTATTCCCTGGGTCAGGATTTATACATGCTGAGCAGGCAAGCACTCCCCTCCTCCCTCCCTCCCTCACAAAGTGCTCCCAGCCAGCTAGAGTTCCGGTGGAGTATTGTTCGAGGCGGTATTTCCCAAAGTTACTGAGTCTTCTTATTTACAAAAGAAGCAATTCATTTTGTAGGACATTTCAAATTGGCAAATGGCCAGTGACAATTTTGACCAATGCTGGGTAAAAAAAAAGGTATTGCAAAACACAAAGCCTTAGAATATTTAGGGAATATGGAAACAAAAAGGAAGATTATTCATCCTTCCATATGGCTTTTTAAAGCCCTTTGCAATTATGCGCTGTTTATGGTTGTTTCTCTATTGAGAAGGCAGAAGACTTGCTTGAGTTTGTGGAAGCATTACAAAAAGAAAGAAGGGATTCAGAATGACAATGGAATTTAGCTGATTACTCTGTGAATCTGCGGTGTGATAAAGACCCTGCTTACCAGGAAAATGGGGAATGCGATCTCATTTGCTTTCCCAGAAATGGATTGGAAAGGCCTTAACTGAAAATTAAAGTTGCTAGTGAGAGGGTTATGAAAAGTAAACAAGCGCTCCATCACAATTATGCATCTGATTGAAACAGATACCTTGCACCCACCAGGAAGCTCAGAATCCATCTTGTTTAATCTGATGCATGGGGCGGAAATGACTTCTGGAGGAAAGAGGAAGTCTGTGCTCTCTCCTGTGGCATTCATTTTGTGTCATACACTGCCTGGACCACATACCACGTCATCAATCCCTCCCTTTGGCCACTTACAGTCAAATTGCCAAAAAAAAAAAAAAAAAGATTTCTAGGTACTAAGGGGTGGTGTTACGTGGAGTGCTGCAGATTTCATCACCCACTTCATAGTTGCCAAAGATCATGATTGTCTTACAAGCCCGAAGCTGGTGGCTCATAGCTGCAGGACTAGCTTCTCTGGAGGTTGAGACCCAGAGGATGGAGATTCAAAGCCCACCCTGTCAGAAAAGTCCTTGAGACCCCATCTCCAAAATAACTAGCAGAAAGCTGGGCCAGGGGGTGTGGTTCAAGTGGTAGAGTGACAGCAGAGTAAGTAATTCAAGCATACATGAGGCCCTGACTTCGGACCTGAGTACTGCAACCCCCTCCCCAAGATATTCGTATACATTTCTAGCTAAATCATATGAGATTTCCTCCTCAGAATATTTGTAGATGCAGACTAACAATCTCATTTCTTCGACACCATCCTTTCTTGGCAGGACTCAATCTTCTGCCTTAAAGAAGACAAAAATCTTATTCTCTCTTCTTTAGGAGTTGGCTTCCCATTTGTTTTGGGGAATTGATGTCTGTAGCTCCCTCAAACTGTGAAGTCAACTCATGATACTTCTGTAAGTGCACAGTTAAGTCTAGAGGGTGAGCAGCTATTAGACGTCCATTCTCAGAGAAGGAGGTGTGGCTCAGTTGGTAGAGCACTAGCCAATGAGCAAACATGTCAGTAAGTATTAGCCAAATGAGCGAATGCATCAGTAGGACACTAGCCAATGAGCAAATGCATCAGGTACCAAGTTCGAGTCTTGATTTTGTACCTAAAAAAAAAAACCCCAAATCCAAAAACCAAAAAAACAACCAATCCTTTTGGGCTTGGAGCATGGCTCAGGTTGTAGAGCAGTGACCAATGAGTCAAAGCAAGCTTCAGATACTGAGTTCAAGTCCTGTCTCTGACAAGAACAAAAAGAAAAAGAAAAAGTGGAAATAGCGTTACTTACAGAGATGAGGAGCATTTACAGAGGCACAAGCAGAGAAGACCTTGTTAAACAAGAATGTGCCAAGGACAGGCACAACAAAAGCAGGAGCAAATACCCGGGACTTCTTGATTTTTATTTCTCTTCTCCATTCCTTTTGGATGATTTTTTTAAAAAAAAATCAAGAATCCTACAGAACACACACACACACACACACACACACACACTTGCCAGTCTTGTATTTATTTCTCTATCTATCTTTCCTCTCCCCCCCCTCCCCATTTGTTACTGATCTTTCTGGACCCTCAGAACTTCATGAAATCAAATTATCTCTGAACAAGAGTGACTTCCTGGACAGAGGTGTTTTTTGTTTTTTGTTTTTTTTTTTGTTCCTCCCAAGCTGGAGCTGAAAAAGCAGAGTAGTCAAACACTTCTGATTCAGCTAAAGATGCCCTGCAGGTCGGAAGTTGTGAATCTTCCATCCAAAACACCCAGCCTTCCCCAGGATTAGTCACTTGGCCGTCTCGCTAGGCAGCTAGTAATTCAGAGATAATCACGTTACCAAGATGCCATTTAATCTGCATTTGGCATATCTGGCGTTTTCATCTTTCCTAATGGAGCCATCAAAGTTTCATTGGGTCTGACTGGTCTTGGACGCACCAGTGGTTCATGGGGGGTGTGGGGTTGGCCTCTCCTGAGGGGGAACCTCTGGTGGCCAGATGGCAGCTGTTAATCTGTTGGCTGCAGGGTGCAAGGCGGGAGGGGGTGGGGGCTAAGCTTGTCTGGCCCCCAGCCAATGGGGCTCTGCTCTCTCCTCTTGATTATTCCAGGGCTGTGTGGCGGGATCCTTTCTGCGCTGCTTTCAGGATGGCACCCTAGGAATGGCTGTCGGGTGGAGGGAAGACAGTGTTTCCTGGTGTCCTTGCCAGCAGGATTCCTGGCCCTGCCCCAGTCCATGGAACCGCGGGGCAGGGGGGGAGGGACATAACAGGACAAGGCTGAAAGTCAGAGTCAGGGACACTGGGCCTGGATTCCAGCTCTCCCCCGCCCCCCTCGCCTTCCCCCACTTAACTAGTACATTCATGTTTTCTGCTACTCTAGTGAAATACCCAGGCTGAGGACTGACCCAGCAAAGACAAGTGTAAGCAGCACAGCGCTAGCCCCAGTGAGAATGCCCACTCCCTATCGCCCCATGGCAGAGGGGATCGGAGCTGGAAGAGGAGAGATCCCATCGCCAGCCAAGCAGCCAGCGGGCAGCCAGGGGCCTCCATGAACCCCTCCCCCCACCAAGGTTCTATTCCTTAAATTAGTCCACCACAGCCTAATGTCACCCACCCACTACGTAAATCTCCGGTGGACAACACAGAGCCACAGGTCCACGACAGCCACCAGCTATGTGGAGTGGAGCATGTAACCTAACTCCTTCGAGCCTCTTGTTCTTCTACCCATGTACACAGGACATGAGCTCCAGGCCAGCCCTCTGGTTCTTCTACCCTTGTACAGGACATGAGCTCCAGGCCAGCACCGTGGCCTGTCTGCCATGGTAGAGTCAAGACAGAGGAGCCAGAGGAAAACCAGGCCATCCACCCCAAGAACCAGCTATTCCAGGGACAGCAGAGCCCAGAGAATTGCTCCCACCAGGGGGGCTGGGTGGGGAGGGTTGTTGCTGCTGGGTGGTTTGAGGATGGGAATGATAAAGTATCTTATCACTGAGGAGATGGGTCAAGAGATGTAGGGAGGATATTCCTGCAATGTCAGGTAGCAGTGTCGATAAAATAACACCTATGTTGGGTGGAAAAAGGAAGGACAAAGTCTATGGATATCATTTATGTAAGTGAAAACATATCCACAAAACCCTAAAACACACACACACACCAAGTACCCCAAAGGAGGTAGCTTGCATGTGTTCTATGAGAATGTATTCAAATTCAAACACAACTGGCACTATTGATTATGGCTTACATGAAGGAAGTGGCAGGAGAGGATAAAAGTAATCAATCGATAAAGGGCCCCAGGAAGAAACTTGTAATGATCACATGCTACAAGTTAAGTCATTGAGGGTCATTGGAGTGTAACTTGCTCAATGCTCTGCCCGCAGATCTAAACGGAAGATAAACGTTGGAGAAAAATATTCAGGAAGACGGGAGAAGCTAATTCATACTAGAGGTGAGAGGGCTTCAGGACCAAGGTATAAAGAGAGGCAATTGGGTGGGTATGGGATGAGTCTTCATCTAATCTCTGCGCCCCTCCCCCCGCTCCAGCCCCTCTTTCTGTGTGTCTTTCTGTCTTTGGGGACTGGAATGGGTCAGAGTGGTCTGAAACACACAAATGACCCTCTCTGAACTCTCAGGTACTAGTTACCCAAAGGCATTTCCCTGATGCTCCCATTTCTCATAGTAGACTTGATTTTAAGTGCTTGGTCACTTTAGAACTCGCTGAAGGTGCAGCGGTATGCAATCTGGTTCAACCAGTTGAGAGTTTCCTGGACTCCAGCCCTTGGGCCTTTGCACGTAACTGTAGTAGTCCTCATAATCGACAATACCTTTGTATATAGTAGGCCAGAGGGTTTATGCTGGGAGAAAGGACCGCAGGAAAATTCCTATCCCTGAAAAGGAAGTTACAAATGTGAATTTGGTGCATGCTTCCACAGCATGCCTTTGTTAATGTGTGGTTTTAGATATCACTGTGAAGCTGGGTGTTGGTGGCTCATGCCTATAATCCTAACTACCCCGGAGGCTAAGATCTGAGGGTCACAGTCCAAAGCCAGCTCGGGCAGGAAAGTTCGTGAAACCCTTATCTCCAATTAACCACTGGAAAACCAGAAACTGAGCTGAGGCTTAAAGTGAGAGGGCAAGCTAGCCTTGAGAACAATGGTTAGGGATGGAGGTCTTGAAATCCAGGCCTGGAGTTCAAGACCCACACACACACACCCTGCTTACTGTGAATTTGCTGGCATTATATCATGGCCAAGGGGTACTGTTCTGAATCATCACAATTAATCAGAAAAAGAAGCAATTTTCCTTTGGAATGACAATGTTCTTGCCTTGTTCAAAGCTTATTTGAGTGAGTGTCCATTTCTTTAAAAAAGAACAACAGTAAGTTAGGGAGAGACAAATACAGACTATCTTCTAAAGAGGAGGATGGAATGATTTTATTATTTGCTTCTCTCTTTTGGAAGCTAAGATTTGAAAGCACATTCAGGATCAATGTCAGTTAGACACCTTTGGGCTGAGAATGGAATCTCCCGTCCCATATGTCTGCATAGCAGAAACACATTTGTTTCTGCAGGAAAAAAAATACAATAAAATACAAAAAGCCAAATAAACATCTTTTAACACACATGTGGTCTGGCCTTGACTGTCTTTAATCAAGATGGGAAGAATAAACTACTTAAAACATTGTTACACTTGTGAACAGACCGAATCCCAGAGATGAAATGTTATTTTGACAAGAGTTGCTTTCTTTTCCCTTTTCCCTTAACATGTCCCTTAAATATCAAAAAGAAAAGTCTGAAGCAAACTCCTTTTTTTTTTGGTCATTTAAACTATCTTGAAAGTTGGACCTCCTGAAAGACTAGTGTGTTTTGTGTTACTAATATATGTAGGCAGTTGAATTTGACATATGTACAATTTTTCTTTACTTATGGATTATTTCCACAGATGTAGGCTTTTAAAAATGCTAAAAATATGTGTTCATATTTTCCTTTAAGTTTCACCCCATTGTTTACTCTCTATGTCCTTCCATCCCTCCCTTCCTCTCTCCTCTTCTACCCCTCCCTCATATCCTCCACTGTGTGAAAAATACACATCATCTTCTACCCACCTGGCATTCCACACCTTTCCAGCTAGAGTTGCTCCAAACTTCTCAGTCCATCTCTAAAACAAAATAGCCCTGACATAAACCGTACACTTGTGCACAGCAATGTTAGTGGGTGGGCTAGCATGGAAGGGGTTTGTATGTCCCTCAAGTCTGAGCACATTGCTTCAACAAATGCTGTCTGTCTGTCTAGTCTGTCTGTCTCTCTGTCTGATCAATCGGTCTATCTATCTCTATCTATCTATCATCTATCATCTATCTATACCTACCACCTGTCTATCATCTATCACAGATCTACCATTATCTGTCTGTCTGTCTGTCTGTCTGTCTTCAGTGCTGAGGGTTGGGCCTATACCACTGAGCTACATCCCCAGCTCAACACCATTTATTTTAATAGATTACTTTGGACCATGTCTTAAGTATAAAAGAATGATTTGATCTCAATAGGTAAAAATAGGCCCAAAAGTTTTATAAAAAGTTTGTGTGTGTGTGTGTGTATGTGTGTGAGAGAGAGGGAGACAGAGAGACAGAGAGACAGAGAGAGAGACAGAGATTGTGTAGTTATAACTCTTTGGGCTCTTAAAACATTTACTACCTCTAGATGATGGCTCTGCATACAGAAGCTATCAGAGAACGAGTGGGGATTTAAGAAGGTCTGTGAGAGATCAAAATAAGCTTGCCATGATGTCTCGTGGGGGAGGGGTGCAGATATTGGAGACGTGTGGGAAGATTCAGTAGTGGGTGATTTCTTCATGGTATTTGCATGCGGAGAACTTTAGAAAGGTTACGTTTCTTTTCTGTGTTCATATTTACTTTGTGTTAAGGTTATTGGATCTCTCTGGCGATGTTGCTGCTGCTATTTTTGTGCACGGCAGATCAGTGTTCCGGTGGAAGAGGATGGAAATTTTGAGCCCCAGTAACAATAAACATATTTTATGCCCCTGTAACATTCAAGCTGCGGTACGTCTGAGAGTCAGTGAAAGTTTTTCTTTTTCTGTTTTTCTCCCCACTTTTTACCCTGAACTCTGAAGCAAAGAAGAAACTTTTGTTTATAAATTTCCAAGCTTTTTCTCTTTGTACTTACTGCAAAGTCAAATGGAGATATAACCTACTTTGAGCAATTCTGGCCAAGTATCAAGTATGTTTGGTTTTAGATAAGAGAGGAAAAAATACTCTATAACTTTTCATGGACACAGTGCTGCATTGCAGATCGACCTGTCCTCCTTGGATCCAGTGGACCCATTAGGCCCTGAGCAGGCAGCAGGAGGCAGATAGGAAATCCAGGACAAACTTTCTGATGCTTCTTAACTATATCGGATTCTGCACCGTAGAATTGCCTATAAAAGGACTCTGTTTATAATTTCATTATTCCTGTCTTTTAAAGATGAAAAGTTTTGCATGATGATTTTGAGTGAAATGTTCTGAGACTATTGAACACCAAACAAGGATCATTTATCGTTTTCAGTGTGCTCTAGCCTGAATTCCTTTACAAGCTACTTAATAACATCACAATTTGCCTGCCTGCCAGTCTGTCTGTCTGTCTATCTGTCTGTCTGCCTAGCTATCTCTGTCTACCCTGTATTCTATCTATCTCTGTCCATCTGTGTATCTGTGTGTATCCATCTGTCTTTCCATCTATGCATGTCTATGTCTATCTGTCTGTCTGCCTATCATCTATCTTTCTCTCCCTCTTCCTTTATCTACGTCTATCCATCCATCTGTTCATCTGTTTCTCTATACCTATCTATATATCTATATATTTATGTATGTATTTATGTATGTATGTATGTATGTATCTATCTGTTTGTCCATCTATCATCTTTCCACCTAACCATGTCTGTCTATCCATATTCATCCTTTCCTCATCTACCCACCTTTCATGAGTTATGCCCTCAGCCTATTTTCTATTTGCTTGTTTTTGATTCCCCATGCTTCAGTATGCTCCAAATGGTTAGCTCCTTAAAAGGCCTAGTGAGATGCCTAAAACTAACATCAAGCATGGCAGGGGATTCTGAGACAGCCTGACGATCTGTCTTGTCCTTTGGTACTGTGCTACATGCTGAGATATTTCTACCCGATTTACTAAGAATTTTATCGCACACATATTCAAGCCATATGACTGTACTGATGCTGGGAATGGGGTAAACACGTGCGTGTGGACCGAGAGGAAACTGATGAGAAGAAAAGAATGATGGTGTAGTTAGTGCAATGAATAGAGAATCCCACGAAGCAACAGGGGCCAGGATTTGTACCCAGCTCAGTGGAACTCCAGGTCTTAGGCTATCTTGTTACCACGGGGGGACCGGCTTAAGGTTTTGGCAGGGTGCGTGGCCTCGTCTGGCTTGAGTTCTACACGATGTAAGTGGAACTGTCATGCTTATCAGTCAAAACATCGAAAGATCTGAAGTGGCAAACCAAAATGGGAACACGGTGATAAAAGCTGAAGAAGCATCATGGCCACTTAGCAGATTGAGATCTGGTCCAGGTAGCACAAGAAGTATGACACAGGTCAAAAGATAGATGCGTGGGCCTGGTTTATGTTAGAGACGTGCCTCCTACCCCCGCAGCTGTGCGAATGTGGCTGTCACTTACCATCCCTAAACTCTCATTCACGTACCACAAAGTAAGGCCCCAAATAGCCAACTGAGAAAGGTGTTTGGATGGTTGGAGACCATAAATGACAAATATCTATACCGAGTAAGGAAATGCTAAGGACTCCTACTCGATAAATGGTTGGAGGGCTTCTTAGTAGCAATGAGGCTTTCAGTCTCCTGTTTATGAGAGACTCTGATGTCCAATTCACCACCCAAAAGCTGGAAGTGGAGCTGTGGTTCAAGTGGGAAGGATACCAACTTTGAACAAACAAAAGTGAAGGGAAAGTACCCAGGTCCCGAGTACAAGCCCCAGGAATTGGCACACACAGAAAATAAGTAAATTAAAGGACATTATTGTAGTGTGATAGGAGCCATGAAGACTTTTTTTAACCTAAAGTCACAGGATTCTACTTGAAGTTGTAACTTTGGACCCTTGATAAGAAGAAAACTTCCTCAGGGCAGCTCTGGGGTACCAAATGAGCAGTGCCCCCTCCCACCAGAGCGATTCACGGGATGATTAAAAGATAGCACCTCCACCAAACAAGGATGCCTCATCTTCAGATGAAAAACTGGGAAGCCGGCATCTGCAGGAGCCGGGCTGAGGCATACACAGTGGGGAATCTTTAGAATCTTTACAGAGAACCAGGTTTAGTCTCTATTTAATCAGTCCCAGGCAGGAGAAATGGCTGCCTTTCAATGAGAGCCAGATCACCAAAAAAAAAGCAAGATAGATGGGTAAGAGCTAGCTCATCACTAGGAGCGTGTGTCTTAATTTGATGGCAGATGTGGGTTAATCAGGAGGGAAGAGCCATATGCCTGGCATCTCAGGGCTAGTCCTTTAACTCTCGGAGAAGTCCTTCAGGAAAAGCTCTCATTTGTTTTCTTAATTAATATTTTAAGGAAAATGAGAATCATGAACCACATTACTCAACTGCGTCCCAAGTTTTCAAAGCCACTTTAGAAAGGACTTGTTTTTGTTTTTCATTTCTTTTTGTATCAGTAATGAGGCTTGTACACAGAGCCTAGGCATTGTCCCTTAGCTTATTTGTTTTATTTTTCCTCCAGGCTAATGCTCTACCACTTGAACCATGGCTCTACTTCCATATTTTCTTTTTCCTGGTTAATTAGTATTACAAGGCTCAGGGACTTTTCCTGCCTGGATTGGCTTCAAGTCATGATTCTGAGAACTCAGTCTCTTGAGTAGCTAAGGTCATGGGCATGAGCTACCAATACCTACCTGAGGAAGGGACTTTTGGCACTTAAAAAGTCTGAGTCTCTATTGATATAAGAACATTGCAGCCTTGGAAGAAAGTGGCTTGGGAAAGGGAATCAATTTGCTGGCGATCTTGAAAACTAATAGCTGCTTGATCTGAAATAGCTACAGAGAGAAAGAGAGAGGAGAGAGAGAAAGGGTGGGGGGCGCTGTCACATCCCGAGTAGCTGTCATAGGCTCTTGTTTTTAGGGGCTTAGTTTTCTACTAATATCCACTGTCCACAGCCTGTTTTACTGAGAAATTAATAAGGGTTGAACAGTTGAGGCACGCAGGTGAAATTTCCTCACTATGCTCTTCCTGTGACCAGAATACCGAAGACCTACTCTCTTAGCAAACTTCAAGTATATAATACAGCGTTATTATGATTACTATGATTATTATTATTAACATTGCGTTGCCGAGGATGTAACCTGAGGCCTTATGCTTTTCTCCTAGGCTAAACTTCCAGCCTAACACATTTCTACTAATGGTAATTCTCAGCCTGTCCATTAGAGCTCCAACATTTCTTTACCCTGCCCAACTGGCCTGTCCACGGTTACAAGGCGCCTCCCTGGACCCTCCTCTCCAGCCCCTTTGAACCTGCTCTCCTCTGCTCCCCGCCTCTCTGCTCGCTTTTGGTCCTCGCTCATGGAGGATGGTAAGATGGATGGATGTTCAGTCATGGTTAGTTTCCCAAGTTCCAAAAACCAGCTAGGGAGGGGGGGTTTGGAGCTCACCCTGAGGCAGGAACGTGGATCTGAGCTCAGGGTCCTTGCCAAACCCGACTTCCTTGAAGTAGAAGAGGATGATGAGTAGTGTGGGCTTTGATAAACAAGTGAGTGGTTTGGAGTCATTTGGGGTGTGTCACGCTCTTGTTTTCATGACATCTTCCAGGAGTCTTCGCACAGAGTTTCCCCAGCACCCTCCGTCCCCCCCATGCCTTCTCCCAGATGTTTGAAACGACCTCAAGTCACCCAGTTTACCCTTGGGACGTTTATAAAGGTGCATTTATGGAGAGACGGGGCTGAGCAAGGCTGATATATTCCTCCTAGAGCTTACTCCTAGATAATCTCCTCCAACACTGTATTGAATCTTCCTTTACCTAAGGCACATTTGGTCCTGGTTTTCAGGAAAAAAAAAAAAGATAGGCTAAACATCGCTAAAGTGCAGAAGAAACGTAAGAAGATTAACAATGGGTGCAGAAATATTATCGCCAGCAATCGGGGGTAATAGGATCCAGTCTTTCTCACCTACAGGCACACAATTTAGGCTTAAGCAGATGATGACAGTACTGAGGAAGGGTGTGCGGGGTTTGTGAGTTTAACTATCAGCAAATCCAGGGGAGGGCTGCTGTCATTTGCTGTGTAGGGGACTCAGTGTGAGAAGGATGAGCATTGGTACGGATCCCAGGATGTCCAAAAGTATATCAAAGTTTTTATAGGCCTTCCCTGAGAGGTAATCCCATGAAAACAAGTGAAAAAGGAAACCCGAATTTGTACATAGGAGGTTGTTTAGGGGTGTGTGTGTGTGTGTGTGTGCGTGCATGCGTGTGCATGTGTGTGTGTGTGTGTGTGTGTGTTTTGCCTGTAGATAGCAAATATCTTTTGGAGCAGTCCCCAAGATCAGAGCTCAACTTTTGATTTGTGCACTGGAGTTGAGCCAATATATTGTCAGTTATATGAAGAGAGCCACCCAATATAGGCCTAATGGGGCAAAATAGGTCCAAATCTGGCAGGAAGGTGAACTAATTCTTCTGCAGCACCTCTGCTATGTCCATCTAGCTTACTTTGAAATGTAAGTAATAGATTCCCTCTACGAAAGCGCACAAAAAGAACACATAAAAGTCTTGATGGTGAAGAGGATTTAATGGTCAGTCATCCGCCAATCCACCAATTCTGGCTGCTGGTGCAAAAGGAAAAACCGTGACTTGCCCTGGAATACCCTTACACCATTTGAGGTACTTTATAAAGGAAGTCCCTGCGAAGGAACTCCTACAGATCTCAGACCTGGGCCTGTCTTGAAGAATCATTTATGGGAGTGACTACAGTGTTAGAAGATGGTTCTTCTGCTCAGTTCAGGAATAGATGACATGTTTGAACA